CTTTGACTTTGTTGGTGGGGGCGGGGTGGACAACCCAGGCAAAGAAGTACACATACTGACACTTGAAAGTTCTTTAGGAGCAAGTTGAAGATGTAAGACTAGAGGGATGGGGGTGGGGCTATGTCACTCGTGTAGACTTTAGTGTTGGAGAATGAATGTGGTTTTCCTTCTTAGTTATGTGTGCTTTAACTTCACTGTAGGACTTGAGGATTCCAGAAATCAAAATTTGGACTTTGGCAGGATTTGTTTTCAGTCATTTAATTTCATACATGGCTATTAGTTGTGTCTACTTTTAGAGGTCACAGGTCCTGGCCTATCTATCTACCGGGGATCCCTGACAGCTGCTTCTATGTAGATCCTCTATGTAAGGCCAACTGCCAGAGCCCCATCTGCCTCCCCAAGATGGGGGATATATTCCTGCCCCCTACTCCCAGCAGGACTTCCTATAGCCCTATCACCCCAAAATTCATATTAAATAGCATTACTGTGTTCTCATACTGTGGATTCCCTCAGTAGAGAAACTGAGACTGAGAAGAGCTTACAATCTGAGCTATTAATTTGCTCATTGTTCCAAAAATTCTTTGGAGAAACTGACACCACCCAATCCATCAAGATGAGTCAGTTGGAACTGGTGATGAAAGTGCCCAGAGTTTCAGACAGGAAAAGTGAGTCTAAGATAAAAGCTGCCATAAGAACGTGGTCCTAGAAAAGAAGTTTTGATCAAAGATGAGAAGAGGGAAGTAGAGGGTAAGGTAAGGAAAATGAAGGAGGCACAATTACAACCACAGACAAATAGCAAACACAACAAAAAAAAATAATTTCCATGGGCAAAAGAACCAAACTAGTAGAAGAGAAAGAGGAAGAGTGATGAGTGAAGAGAGGAAAATGAATTAACAATGGTGGTAATTACTTCTGTTAGATGCATGATCCTACAATATAGGATCAAACCAGCCTATCCTATGATTTCAAAAGGAGATTGGTGAGAAGCAGAGAAGAATAATCAAAGAATTTGTCCACTGAGGACTCTCCAATCATCAAATAACAATGAAAAAAGCTACTGAAAAAGTTTAAATGTTTGCTACTCAGACAGTGGTCGGCAGAGCAGCCTCATCAACATTACCTAAGATCGGGCAGGAATGTGGGATATCAGGTCCCAACATAGACCTAATGAACTAGAATGTGCATTTGAATACAATCCACAGGTGATTTGTGGGCACAGCAAAATTTGAAGAGCACTGAATTAAACCAAAATGTTTGGAGGCTTCTCAGGGACTTAGGACAGGGATCTAGCAAGTCACAAATTGGGGAACAATTGGCAACCAGCAACCGGAATCTAGTCATGATGCTCTAGCTCTTGCCTCTGTTCCTATCTCTGTACTTCCTTTCCATAGTCCTCCTTCCCTTTAATTCTCTCTTTACACTGCATTTATCTGCTTACTAGGGTCATATGGGAAAAATTAGGGTGCCAAGAGCTCATAAGTTTTCACATTGTCTCTTAAGTAACTTATAGAGAGGCTAATTTCTTAGTCTTGATGATGAAATTATTGAGGAATATGCTGATTGGCCCAGCTTGGCTCAGGTATTCTTCTGGGACCAATTAGCAGGGAGAAAGGGATGAAATCCTGCTGGGAAATAAAGCGGCTCCCACTCTGGCCCCATGGCTGGAGTTGGAGGGTGGGTAACCCCATTAACTGCCACCTCCTACCCCTTCAGAWCAGGTCAGCATTGGTGCATCTGGGGGAAGTCATTGCTTTAAGGACAGCTGCTCAGGCTCTCCTGGTCTTATTTAGAAAGGACATTAAGCAGGGCTCCTCTTGGCCTGTGCCTGAGGAGTGACCAGCAGTGCCTTTATGATTGTCTCTGAAAAATGCAAAGGCTACACTTCACTGAAAAGCTCAGAGCCTTTTATAAGCCTAAAAGGGGCTTAAACATGAACGTGTGGCAGAGTTGGTCCCAACCTATTTCTGGGAGAGAAGACTACCATTTTAGCATCTGTCGTAGGTCCTGGGATGTCAGCAAACTATGAGTACTGAATAGTTGGGAGTTGTTGGAAAACTTCAATTTTCAAACATGCATCCTAAATGGCTGAATTTGCAAACCATCCCTCTAGGGGTGAAGTGACCATGGTGAGTCTGTTCTAAGCCAAAAGAGTCAGGCAAGCTGTTTATTTGTTGTAATAGTGCAGAGATATGAACATCCCACATACCTGTGTGGAAAGAACTACTGCTCCAACAAAAATCCTTATAAGAGTAAAATAATGTGAAGGACACATTCCATGTCCAAAGAGTGCATTTCATGGAAGAAGAAGTTGAAACTAGAAAGAAGATTGGAGATTGGAGGGACTATTATTAATATAGAAATACCAGAGGGTTCTAGAATCCTGGAAATATCTCCTCCTTGGGTATTGTGCTTGAGGTGTTTAAATGATCAGGGAAGGACCTGTGGGTGCTTTGGAATTTGGCCAATAGTATTTGACAACAAGTTGCACCTTTAAAAGAGCTTTTAAAGAACAAGCATAAATAGCGAAGTAAGCGGAGCTGTGTCCAGTAAGGCAGCCTGTGTCAATGTTTTGTTCCATGCTTTCATAACTCTACATATTATGTAAACTATGTATGCTTATTGTAAACTATGTATGCTTTTTAAAATGAGACTTGGGATGCTATGGCCTAAACATGGATGCCTGAGGCATTTCTGGATCCCAGAGCCTAAACAAGGATGCCTGAGGAATTTCCGGGCCCGGGGGCTTAAACATGGACACCTGAGGAACTTCCGGACCCGAGGACCTAAACATGGACGTGTCCCTGGAACTTCTGGGTCCTTGTGCCTATAAAGGGCAGGGCCTGACTCTCAAAAGGGTCATGGCCCATGAAGGGGAGCTGAGTATGGGGCCTGTTGGGGGGCAGACTGAGCTGTCGCACCCTGAACTTGAATGTGACGGTGGCCTCACTTCCCGGCCTTCCCCTGGGTGTCACTTCCTCCCCTTCCAGGCAGTGCCAGGGAGGAAGTGAGACCAGGCACAGGGGCCAGGCCCTGAAGAGGGACACCGTCTTTCTCCTTGCTTAGCCAGGCACCCTGCCTGGCTGGGGATGGGGACATCTTGTGACACTGGCTGCCTCCTGCATCCCTGCCCCAGGACCTCAGGGACCACAGGCGGGGACAGTTGTTGATTCTCCCCTGGCCGCTGACCCTCAGCCCGGGGTCTGCCCAGGGAGAGCTCTGTCTCCCAGAGGGTCAGGGGGCCCCTGAGACCTTCTGCTCCTTACCCACCCTCATCCTGGGCAAGCAAAGATCAGGACACCAGAYGCTACTGAGTGACATCTCCTAGATGTGCGGCTGGGGACTTTGCCTCTGTCCCCAGGCCTCGGACACCAGATGATCCCCCCCCCAGAGACAGAAAATAACCCCACACTGCCCAAGACTTATTTTTAAGCTTTGGATTCTGAAATTTTCCTGCTGCCACCCTCTTTGTGAAGCCAGTTTTTCAACAGAGACAATATTCCAGGGGAAAAAACAAAACAAAACATGGAGTCAGTCAAACCAAGTTGACACATCTGCTCCTCCAAGAGAAATCTGGATTGGAAGGAGAACAGCCATTCTCAACTGAAGAAATAATGAAGTTCCCTTGTCCTTATTTTGTGTAAGCAAAATAAATAATCTGATGTTAACTCATCAAATTTTTTTTGATGAGTGGTTGGCTCCTAGGAAAACTGATTCTGTTTTATGGAATGAAGTGTTACCTGATTTTAAAATTTAAAATGAAGCCAGTTAGGATTATTAAATTACACTGTCATAATTCTGTTCTTTGATAGCAGAAATAAATAAACCTTTTAAAAAATGAGACTTGTTTATATTTTGTTTGTCCAGATTTGGTGACTAACCATAGATCACTTATTATCTAACTGCCTTTTTTCAAGGCCTGTTAGGAGAAAATAAAACTCCCTGAYGATGGGCATGATAACATGATCTCTAAAACGCCAAGTTCTATTGTAGTGACAGCATCATTCTCAAGGGCCTGGAAGACTCTGATRTCTATAGGATTGGAATTATGAGTTTGTCAGTAGGATCTATGGCACTGAGGCAAAACAGGAAGTTGATCAAGGCTCTTCCAAGGATAACATCTGTTTTTACTGTTGTGAAATAGCATAAAGAATATGGGATTTTAGACTGATGGCTGAACATTTCTCACCATCTCCCCCACCAATGGGATACTTAAGAATGATGATGAGCTTGGTGAGCRTAATGACAAAATTTAATCTCCCAGTCTCTGGGAACAGTGGTGCACACCTGCAATCCTAGCAATTCAGGAGACTGAGGCAGGAGGATGACAAGTTTGAGGCCAGCCTCAGCAACTTAGTGAGAACCTGTCTCAAAATAAAAAGTTAAAACAACTGGGGATGTAGCTCAGTGGTAAAGTGCCTCTGGGTTCAGTCCCCAGTACCCACCCCCCAGAAAAAATACAATCATAAAATTCAGGTGGACAAATAAAATCAAGATCGGGAATCAGATATCTCAATTACTAAGGTTCTCTGCTTTTAAATTGATCACTGTGGATAAAATGAACACTGAGTCCACAGAGAAGAAAGAAATTTTAATTTCAGCTACAGTATAAAGAGAAGGGTCTTTTATAACTAAATAGARGCATCTGTTTTGTTTAAATTAAGGGTCTGTAAGTACCAGCCAGGGACATAGTTGACAGCCATTCTATAATAGAGTCGTAAATCATGGGGATGGTTAAGRAAGCAAGAAACACCACATTCTTGCTTTGTTCAACCAATTAAGCAATAAGCCATCTGGGTCCTATTATTAATTACTACCAAATACAACTTACACAATTGAATTCAACCTTTTATTTAATTATATTAATTTATCCCAGCAACTTCAAATACCCACAATGACAACAATAAGATTCTTTAAAAAAATAGATGTCTTATTTAATTTTTATTCTTAAACCATTAATACCCTTTACAAGGTTGCCATCTGACAATTTTTAGCTCCATCTCAGCCTTAGAATGTTAGGGGAAATGGTTTTAAATAGAGACATGTCTGAAGCAAGAAGACAGTGGTTAAAATCTCTTCTCTAGAAAGGTGATGTGTCTAATGCTGTTCAGTAGTAGTGTTTGTGATGATGAAATGTTCTATATCTGTGATTTCCAATAGCCATTAGCCATGTGTGGTTCTTGAGCTCTTGAAATGTGGCCAGTACATCAAGGAACTTTTTAAAAATTTTGTCTAATTTTAATGGATTTCCATTAAATGCACCATATTTGGCTAGCGTCTACCATATTAGCACAGGTCTAAGATGCATTCTAAGGATAGAGAAATGCAGTGGGCCATTGACTTGGCAGGCAGAGAATGAATATATAGTTATAATAGGTATTATTTGGAAACATTTCCTACCTAGGTTTTCTTATTTGACACATCCCAAAGGATCTTTAAGGGAAGGTTTCTAAGCTTACCATGTGGAAAGCTAGCTCCATCTGGGAGAGAAATGCACATAAATGGTGCTTTCTCAAATAGCAGAACTAACCCCACTTAGCAACTCTTATAGCCAAACTAGGTCACAGTAAGGAAAACTATTTCTCCTTTGTTAGCCTTATCTCTGCTCTAATTAAAGTGTATTGTCCCCAAACTTTTGAAAATTCAACCCACAAACACAGTTAAGGGTCCCAGCAAATACTAGGGTCTCAGAGGTGGCCCGGTCAGATCTCACAGACATTAACACCCAGCACTGTTTGTAAGAATTTTGTAAGCACCTTGTAAGAATTTTGACTCAGACTCTCACATTTCCCTTCAAGGAGTTTTGCCCCTTTGCAAAGTTCATTATTTCTTGTGAGATCAATACAAATCCCATAACAGGGCATCAAGGAAATTTATCAAACGAAAACACCTTTATTATGAGAATGCTCAGTCTGTGCTGATCCTTCTAACATAAAATGACTAAAGTGAAATCTATTGCAACTATAATCTGGTGGTGGTGAATCAAGCTAGAGAAGAGTTAGTGCAGGTGAATAGAGRTAGAAGGTTTCAAGAAAATTCCCATTAAAATGAAAATGTTTTATCCCAGGTATACTGATTCTTTTCAGTTGGTTAAATTGACCTGGAGAGTGGAGCCAAAGCTCCTTTCCATCTTCTCTCCAACCCTACTCTCCTTCTCCCTGTGCCTTTCCTTCCTTTGAGCTGTGGCTCAACCAATGAACATGAAATTGGTGCCTATAAACCTATCAAAGTTTTTGGACTGTCAGAAAATTATAGCCTCTTGCTCTTTCACTTTTTATATTTGGCCACACAGATAATCCAAGTTAATACTACCTGAAGACCAAGAAATTGACCCATTGGATTGAAGTGCCCAACACTGCCGGATGTACATTGCCCAGGTGTTTCCCAGTCGGGGATAAAAGCAAAAAGCAATTGTTATGTACTAAGAAGAAGAAGAAGAAGAAGAAGAAGGAGGAGGAGGAGGAGGAGGAGGAGGAGGAGGAGGAGGAGGAATCTTCTGTAATATATGATGCTCATCTCCAGTGATGAAGACAATGAATCCACTCTTTCTTCTTTAAAAACAGACAGGGGCTTCTGATATTGATTCACAAAACTTTCTTTCTCTCCTGCATCAGGAGCACAAGTACCAAAGAATCTGCTTTGTGATATAAACATACTCCTTTAGTTTCCTTGGGGCAGAACTGTGACTTGCCCATGTTCTCTTGCCTTCCGGCATTCATCGTTCATCCACAGGGTGGATGTGGTCAAATCGCCACAGCTGGCTGACTTTTCCATCACACTGACGCAAGTACAAATCTTTATTGTTTTGCTGAACCACAGCTTCCATGCATTTCCCAGAAAGAATGTGGACAATCATTCCATTCTGAAAAGAGAAAAGAAAGAAGAAAACCCAGTTCCCCACAAAAATCAGCAAAGAATGAATCTTTAAAATTTTGTGCTGATCATTAAGAGAATAATAGAGGTGGTATGAACTGTCCTGTAAAGGAACAGTAGCATTTTTTGGTTAATATAAAATATAATTTAGGTAGTCCTAGAATTTTRATGTCATTCAAAGCCTTGAGGGAATCATTAATCCAATTATCTTTATTATTGTTGTACAATTGTGCCATTTCTTAGAAAGACAGGTATGATAATTCCAGGACTATAGCATGTTCAGTATTTATACTTGTATTTGGAATATGCATTATCATCGTGCCTATAAATTTATGCTTTCAAAAAGGATTGGGTCAATGGGCTGGGGTTTTGGCTCACAAGTAGTAGAGCACTTGCCTAGCATGCGTGAGGCACTAGGTTTGATCTTCAGAACCACATAAAAACAAATAAATAAAATAAAGGAATTGTGTCCATCTACAACTAAAAAAATTTAAAAAAAAAAAAAAAAGTAGAATCAATTCTACCTTGTTAATGCTGCAATTCAGGACTGCGGCCACCAGGTTACAGTAGAGAGAAAGACTTCAAGGATACACCAAAAGCCTAAACCAGTCATGCTCAGGAGATTGTCTGCTCCCTAATCAAAATCTGCCAGCTTTCATGTATGAACATGTAACAACAAATCCCATCATTATGTACAACCATAATGCACCAATAAAAAAATGTAGAAAGAAAAAAATCCATCAGATTTAATATTGAATCTAACATCCCCTGTTCAAGAAAAATCTGATTTCCTTTTTAAAAATATTTTTTAGTTATAGATGGACACAATATCTTTATTTTATTTATATTTTTATGTGGTGCTGAGGATCGAACCCAGTGCTTCATGCATGCGAGGCAAGTACTCTACCAATAAGCTACACCCCAACCCCAAATCTGACTTCTTTATGAAATTACAAAAGCTTTCAGCAATGCTGAAAATGCCTGTTTATTTATTTATGAGATAGTCTAGTGGATTTTAGTTCATTCACAAAGTTGTTCAACCATCACCCTGATTCCAGAATATTTTCATCACTACTCAAAGAAATCTATTACCCATGAGCTAATTACTCCCCATTTTTACTTCCTTATAGCCACTGAAAATCACTAATCTATTACAATAGGTGTGTATTCTCACTTTATTCATTTATGTATGGACATGTGGGTTGCTTCCAGCTCTTGGCTATTATAAATAATGTCACATTCCTTTTTCTAACTAAATGATAATACCTTTTTAAGGTCTGATTTCTTAATGTTTGAAATATGCTTGGCATGTCTTGCTAATATTTTACCTACTTTATTTTTAATTTTTTTTAATTTTGGGGGAGTACTGGGGATTGAACTCAGGTGTGCTCGACCACTGAACCACATCCCCAGACCTATTTTGTATTTTATTTAGAGACAGGGTCTCACTGAGTTGCTGAGCACCCTGCTTTTGCTGAGTCTGGCTTTGAACTCAAGATCTTCCTGCCTCAGCTTCCCAAGCTGCTGGGATTTACAGGCAAGTACCACTGTGCCCAGATATTTTACTTAAAATATAAAATATATAATATTTTAAAATGCTGTTTCTAAAATGTTTCTTATTCACAGGACTTGCTTAGAATGATCCTTTATGATCATCCATGAAGGACCTTAACTTGAATTCTATGACTTCTCTGCACATGTGTGGGCCCCTTAGTCCTGGGTTCATTTGTCACCAAAGCTCCAGGAATTTTGTTCTCAGCTGCTTATTGTGAGTCCAGCTTAAATTTTCCATTATGTGATTTGCTTCTTTTCACAGCCTGCTTTGATAGTACTAGCACATAAGAGTTGTTTGGTTATTTTATCCTCTTTACTCCCAAGCGGAAGTTAAAGAAAAGAAATGTTTAAATTATGCAGATTTGTTGGTATATTAATATTCTAAATCAATTCAGAAAGGATTTAAAGTGGAGAAAAAGCTGTATGTGAACACTTATTGTGGATACCATCACCTTCTCTCTCAATCTCACATCTGGGACTTGCTTATTCTCTGTTAAGTACTTACTTTCCCTATTTCCTTGTAATTGATAAATAACCTCTTGATGAATCTAGAACTTCATAACCTTTTGATGGATCTAGAAATTCATAACCTCTTAATGGATCTAGAACTTCATAACCTCTTGATGGATCTAGAATTTTATTACCTCTTGATGGATCTAGAATTTCATAACCTCTTGAAGGTCTAGAATTTCTTTCACCAAAGATCACAGAAGTCAAAATTTTGCCCAAGGATGAAATGCTCATAATGAAATTAACATTAAAATGAAGAAAGGGATGTTTATACATCTATGTCTATACTATTTTTTAAGTGAGAGAGGGACTCTTCCTAGTTCCCAAACTACACTTCCAAGRTGGTTGACAATTTCTCCACTATTGTACTTGTGACCTGAGCTAATAAACTTTTAAAAAAGGGCTGATTCTTCTCTCCCCCTTAATCAAGGCAGGACTATAAGGAGATGGGGCAAAGTGGTACATTTAGTGATGCTGGTTGTACATTTCAATAGTACCCTTCCCTGATGAGTTGCCTTTACCTCCCTCAGAGGCCTTATATGACACCTGACCTCTTGGAAGAGCCTGGGAAGTGCCAACTGGGAGTTCTTTCCCACCAGCAGCACTGCTGAACTTTCCCAAATKCGTTGCTCACCTCCTGGAAGTCCCAGTGCTGCTGGTGAATGGCAGAGCCATTCTCTGTGCAGTTCTGAAGAATCACCTGCTCTCGCCTGACATCGAGGCATAGGTGCTGTGGGCTGCCAGCGCGGATCTCTTTCCTGCTGGTGTGCTCCAGGTGCTGGGACAGAGGGAATGGTTGTCAGCACAGCTAGCAAGAGACTCTTTCAGAGATGGAGATGAAGCAAAAAGAACTCACAATAGAACAGGCATATAGGGGCCATCCTTGGATTCTACTGGGGTCTGCAGGACTGTATCTCATGGTCAAGTCCACAGGCTGCAAGCCCAGCCCTGACYTCTGAAGTCCCCACATTCAGGCTGCTCTCCTGTTCATATTTCCACATGGGGATGTTTCTCCATTGTTCTGTTTACTATAAGATAGGTAAAGCAATAAAGAATGCCGTGTGTTTTGTGAGTGTGCTGTTGGAAGGGCAGAGGAGGAACCTCTCTGATACCCAAGTTGACCTCTTTCTGGAGAGGACTTACCTGCTCCTGAAACTCTACTGTTGATGATCTCTGCTGACTCACTCGTAGGTATTGTAGTATTGGACTGTTTATACACTTGCAGAGGGGCTCTAACGGTGTAGACTAAGCCTGTGTAGACTAATTGAAAGACATGACCTGACAAAACCATTTTCTGTTTGCTCTTGCTGGATGCAACCCCCAATGCAGTCACTGGGGTCTTGTGCTTAGAAGGGCTTMATGATCTTGGTTTAATATACTCTGCCATCACTGTCTTGAAATTCTTAATAATTGTCAAATTAGAGATACCGCACTTTCGTTTTGTACTGGGCCCTGCAAATCAAGTAGCTGCTTGAGCATTCCCACACTACACAATCAGCATAAATTTGAACACTGAACACATGTTAGAGGCAAGTTTGTGGACAATGTTTAAGGGAGAGTAATTTTTTCCTACTCAAATGCCCTATGGTGACATTTTTCTTTGCCATTTCCCTGTGTMGGGGGGGTGGCTATTTCTACAACTTTCCAAGAACAAGTTCCTCTCCAAATAAAGCTGGCTTTATTTGGGAGTCTCATTTYCACTGTCTCATCTCCCCTGGGCTGCATGAGGGAGCTCACACCCCTGGATTTCTGAGGTTGATGAAAACCATGCCCTCCCACCTGGCAGGTGGCTCAGCCCATCCCTGTGACTCCATGTTCAGTTGCCTTTTGATTTTTGTGCCTGGAGATTTTTCCTTTCTTTCTTGTAAAATCAATTACTTCTGCATGAAAAAAGGGCTTTTCATATGTTTTTAAAATCCAGCATATCATATCTAAATACTTAAGAAAAGGAATTTCCACTTATCTAGTTCACAATATTGCTGGATCCAGAAATCCTCCCTAGATTCCTCAAAATAAAAGCACAGAAAAGAGCTAATCTTCTGTTTGCATGCAGGAGGCTGCATCATCATCCCCACTTTCAGATGAAGAAACCAACACTCGGAGAGGTTAACATGCCTGCCAAAAACACACAGCTCACAAATGGGGAACTTGGATCCAAACTCAGCCATGTCTGGACAGTTGTCATCCTCACCCTTAGCTTCCTCAGTTAGCACTTTAAATTTATGTCCTCGTCCCTTGTGTCCGGTGTGAATGCCTAACAGTGTGTTCTGGAAGACTGGTAAAGGAAAGAGCCAGAAGAAGCCAGGTGGATCCTGAGCTTCTCCTTCCCTATGTGTCCTCCAGGTCCAGGGCCTGCACTGCAAAGCCCACTCCAGACCTTCCGGATGTCCCCTCATTCACCCCAGGCTCTCAGGGCCTCAGCTGACTTATCCAATGAATACCTCCAGAAAATGTTCTTTGTTGCTTGTTTTCTAGGGGATTTGGGGGGGTATGATAGTTTAACTCCTATCACAGCCTGAAAGCAAAGAGATTTGACTATATGGTTTGGATATGAGGTGTCCCCCAAAAGTTCCTGTTAATACAGGCACATCCAGAGGTGAGATGATCAGATTATGAGAACTGTGACCTAATCAGTCCATCTTAGTTTGAATGAACTGGCTGGGTGGTTAACTATGAGCAGGTGGGGTGTGGCTGGARGAGGTGGGCCACTGCGGATATGTCCTGAAAGGGTACATCTTCCCTGTGACCTCTTTTCCCTTCCCTCTTTCTACTCTCTGGTGGCCATGTCCTGAGCAGCCTCTATCCTCCACCCCCTTCGGCCATGATGTCCTGCCTTACCTTGGGACCAAAGCARTCAAGTTGGCCCACCATGAACTAAATCTCTGAAACTGTGAGCCAAAATAAAATTTCCCTCCTCTAAGTTGTTCTTGTTGGGTAGTTCGGTCACAGTGACACAAATCTGACTAACACACTTGGGGACAGGCTATGCTTGCTAGGTTATCATCCAAGTTGTGAAAAGAAGTGGACCCATCAACCCTCAGCATCAAAGGAGGCTCTCTGTCACCTTCAGCTTTATTCTCAAAATAGAAATCTGAAGAGAATAAAAATATACCCTAAGGTACAAGGAGACCTTCCAAATGACTAAGAGGCCTACTTGGATGCTGGAGTGACTCTGCTGCGTTTAGATCCTTCCCCCCACTCAATTACCTTCTTCTGTCCTTAGACAGTTGGACCTGCCTCACCCCTGGAGGCATCTGAGTCTGCAATCCCTGAGCTAGTGATTCTATGCCTCAGCTTTCTTGTCTGCCAAGTGAGAGAGTGGGCTAAATAACCTCCACATTTCCTTCTAACTAAGACAATGCATTCTTAGATGCCAGCCCATGTCTGTGATTACAGCTTAGGATGAGGTGGACAGAGCTATTCTGAGTCATTACTGTGGGGGACATGGGACCACAGAAAGGCGCAACTTCAGAGGGAAGTGAAGGGCATCTTAGAAAAATGGCACCTACTTGCAAGTCTTCCTTGGGCTTCTATCCATCCTAAGAAGTTTGATCACCCACCTGTTGCTGCCGGCTGTCACTGCAAGGGGCCAGCCTCATGGGACAGCCCAGGATGTCCCCTTCTGTTTGGCAGTCTGCACAGAAGCCAAATCCAGTGTTGTGGAGCTGAAAGTGGACATGCACACAGAAGTGAATCCCATTGTCTGTGATCTCCATGGTAGAGATACCCTTGTCAGGCCCCACTCCTCTCCTTCATTCTCTGGGCAGAAGCTCAAGGTGCATTGTTAAAGCCACAATGTGTAAGACCAATTCAAAGCCACAGATCCTAAGGGACAAGCTTCCTGGAGGAGGCAGGCCACATTTGTCCTGGTGAGGAGACCTGGGGCAGGTTCTAGGGCCACCTAGATACTTTTCTCAGGCTGGCAAGGAGACCAGGGAGGCACTACAGGTCTCTGAAGCCCTTCTGAGCTTGGGACTTCTTTCAGGGCAACAAAAGAGCATTTGAACAATGCAGTTCTTGTCTTGAGAAGCTTCCCTGTCCCTTCTCTCCTCCCCRGCTCCCCTGGGTCATGCCTTGCCTTTCCAGAGAACCTGGGCCTGTGTTCCGATGGGTACATCTCAGGGTAGATGTTGGCCAGAAACCAATGGAACGTCCGACAGCCTAGTCTCCTTTGCAGCTGCAAGCGTTCAGTGCAGTCTGGCTTCTCGGCCTGGGAGAGGAGAAGGACCAGCAGGAAGATGAGGAAGAGTTTTTGAACACCACAGTTTACAACATAGGGGAGGGACAGAGGTGGCTGGGAAGAAGCTGAAGGACTGGGAGGGGCCCAAGATCACTGTTCCCAGGGCTGCCAGGCAGAGGTGGGGGGGTCATGTACCTGAAGAAGAAGGTAGGATGGAGAGTAGGCTAGATCTTACCTAGAGAGAGCTGTGGAACTAGCATGATTGTGATATTGTTAGGGAGTAACTAGCAATGAGCAATGAAATGCAGACAAGGTCACAAGTATTCTTTAAATTATTTTGGGGTCCTTCTTTAAACTAATTTCAAAGTAGATAAGAAAGCAAAGGATGGCAGTTAATTTGTAGAAAATAAACAGAAGCAAGAGGAACTAATTGGGAAATATGTCAAAACAAAAGGATTAATGGGACTAACTCTTGACAGGGTCCATTGATGTTGATGTAAAGCTAGGAATTATGGTTATAAGTGTCTCCAATTGTCTGGGAAGGAAGATTCCTTCAGTAGCACAGGTGCACTGAGGTAACTTCTGAGCAGCTATTGACCCCAGTGCAAACATGGGATTGAATTGTAGTTGAAAGCCYATAAATAAGATGGCCATCATGACAGTTGCAGAGAGGACCAATTAAAGTAAAAAACTCCACCATCCAACATGAAGAAATTGAACACCTGATTGGGAAAGAGTACAGAAGGTGGTCCCAAGCTTTCCTGGTAAACAACAAACAGTAATAAAATTGGGGACAGCATTGTCTCCTTTGTCATTCTCTGCTTGGAGACAGTCCAGTCTCTCTCTTGAGAGTGCTTTTTGCTTAAGCCTCACTTTTCTTTTACTAGATTTTATCTTCACTTTTATTTCGAATGAAGTTCTCTTGCATGACTTTTGGTGTCTGACTTTAAATCTTCTTTTGTTGGAACACAAGAACTGAGGTTTGGAGTTTCAGCTCCCTGCTTTCCTGTGCAATATCACCCCCTTCCCACAACTTCCCAACCCTTCAGTCTATAAAGATCATAATGTCTATGACTTTTCTGTGGAAACTGGTGAACTAGTTGGGTTTTGCACCTGTGTTGGCATGGTGCAGAACCATGGGCCTCCTGGAGGCAGAAACTGGCCCAGAGATACTGAGATGACGTCAGTTGGGAAACTGTGGGATGAAGGATGAGGCAAGGCAAGTTTATCTTTCTTCCCTTGTTGGTCCCCAATCTCCTCCATTAATGAATCATTTGTTAGGGCTATACTATTCCCACTCCTTGAGATTCTCCTTTATAATACAATTTTATTAGGATAGGTATCTGGTCAAATCCTTCATACTAGCATAAATTAATGTTTTGGCTATATTGATAAAATACAAAGAATACCATCCAGGAGTTTAGTTCTAGGTCCTGGATATTTTTACAGAAAAGAGAGACTCTAAGGAGAGGTTGGAATGGCCAAAGACCAAAGAGAGAGAGACAAACAGCCATCATCATTCTTCCTTGTCAGGGGAAGAGGAAGAGCATTATCCTCATCCAAGTTCTACTTTGATGGCCCCTCATCTGACGATAAGACACAGGACCATCAGGCTGTGTGAAGTGAGCTTGGTTTGATTCTGCTTTTTTCCTTGTTAGTTCTCAGATAGAAATGTTGGGAAGAATAAGTGTCTGCCATACTGACATCCTCTTGACATATTTCTCAAAGTGTGATTCTCTAAGGACCTGCCTCAAGGAATGCTCAGGAGCTTGTTAAAAATATTGATTTCTTTCTCTAATTACTAGAGATGTTGAACATTTTTTTCATATGTTTGTTGATC